TAATACATAGCGTGTGCGATGTTGTTATTACGGTCGGTCGTCGATGTGCGCGTGCTGCGCGGGCTAAGCAGAGCAGTGGAAACAGCGGTGGCCGAACTCGAGCTCGGAGGCAGGGGAACAAGCGGCAGTCGCAGCTCGGCCTCGGCTTAACGGCGCACGAGACACAGACATGCATCGTGGCAAGGACACGGGCAGCAACAGAGTGAGAGAGAGAGTAGTATGCGGCAAGGCCAGCAGAGGGAGGGAGAGCAAGCAGCCGGCAAGGCCAGCAAGCTCGGTCCTTTCTCATAACGCGCGCATCGTACCGGCGAGATAGGGGAGATGAGTGGCCAGTGACACTTTCGTTTTTATTTTTATTTCGTTCATATTTATTTTTAAACTAAGAAACATCACATTGACACTCAAACAAGCATACCAACGTATTCACGATGTTCATATCTTGCTGATGATATGATTTTTTTCTGTTTATATTTTATATTATTTTAGCTTCCAAAATTTTATTTTCTAAAACAACTTTATGCATTTACAAGCGTAACTAAAGCTCTAAGGTTTTATTATTTAGCAAATTTTACTTTCAATAAATTTTTGTTTTGCATCTCACCACACAGATCAATATTAAAACATGATATTCATGACACGATTAGCAGACTTAGCTAGAGATTAACACCTGGGGTGTTACAGCCCTCCCCCCTTAAAAGAATCTCATCCCGAGATTCGAAGCTAGAACCAGAAAAAGGGGGAAAACGCGATTACATTTCGTAGATCAGGGATTACACGAAAGATTACACAACTTCGAATACTAAACCACACGGGGATCAAAGGATACATGGTTAAGAGCAACCTAATATAAACGAGACTTAATCCAGAAGTCGAGATAGACGAGGGCAATAGAGAAACAACAAGATAATGAGTATCCAAAACATGACGTAGGCCCAACAGATCCAGAAACAGTCGACTGAGAAGTAAAACATCGTGAATCCTAAAATCGAACTATCCAAAGGAACTTGAACTTCTTCGGCGAACCAGATCCTTTCTTCTCTTTAGGTTACACCATCACCTCAGACTGACGAACCTAGCTTCACGAGGTCAACTGGATTCCGTAGCTCTGCTCCGTATGCGAAGGGAATGGGGATGAAGAAGAAGAGCAAGCACCAAGGGTTTTTTATAGTGGCGAACGGCGGTGGAGCGCAAATCATCGGCGGTGGAAAGATTGGACATGGTGCGCTTCCTGCGCGAGCGACAGAGGGGAAATAAAGGAGAGGAGAATGGGAGGTCCGCTCGACGAGGCAAGCGTGCGGGCAGTCGTGTCCTCAAAAGGAGAAAGAAGAGAAAGGGGATGGAGGGGGTCCGGTACAGGGGGACGAGGCGTGGGAGTCAAGAGCCGACCGGATGCTGGGGAAAAGGAAAAACGCACGGTGCACATCGAAAAACAGAAGAAAAGAAAGAAAGAAATCAGCTGAGGAAATGGACCACATGGACACACATATTTTGTCAATGCTTGTTGACACGTTCTGGCGATATCAAGCCCAGGACGCTAAATGATCTTGCTGGTGGTCCAATTACAAAATGGCCCGGCTACTGCCTAAACAAAATAAGGCCCATTTTCAGCTTTCTTTGTCCACGAAAAATGGTGCCTGCGTTGGGCAATCTATAACTCTTATAAAGCAAAACCCCACTACCTATTTCTCTTGACATGCAAAGCGTCCACCTCAGCAGTCCACTATCGCGTCCACCTCATCAGTCCACTATCATTTGCCACTAGCAATTTCTCTTGACATGGTGTCCACCTCAGCAAGTTCACTATCATTTGCAATTAAAGTTTACTACCACAAGAATTATGATATCTATGTCAGTGAGACACATCATCCACTATGGATACAATCTCCACGATTATGCTAATAAATCTATACATATATTATATCATGTTCCTGCATTACCAACACCATACATATACATCTCCTAATTCTTATTAGTTAACATTCTAACCTATTTATCGTACCCACGGCAACGCACGGGGAATCCTCCTAGTTTGATTGATGATGGATACCATTACACGGCAATCATGATCCAGAGATACTGAAACCTAGAACAACAAGAAGGAATCGCATATAGTGCTTTCTGACCTTAAAATCTTGTATCAGTGAAGAGAAAGATACAAAACTCAGAGTACACTCTTTCAAACCCGTATATTGTGAAACGAGTGTAGCTTAGATGATTGGCTTTCTTGTGTGGTGGAACCAGTCCACCTAAGTTTAAGTCATGGGTGCTCACACTTTCCTAAATTTGTTTTAGAATTTGGCGACGTTAATTGTTCTTTTAGCGGTAGATGTCGTGCTTGTTGACAGCAAGGTGTGTCAATGATCTCAGAAGAGCGTGGTCAACATATTATTATTAGGTGTGGATTTTTTTGTAATGTAGCCCCTATGTATACGTAGCATATCAATTTAGGACTGAATCCACTAACTTATCCCTTGACATGTACCTTGGCCATCTACAACCCAACGCCTCAATGCAAAATCCAGTGCTACCACCATCTTCTCTGCAGGCGCTGTCACTGCATGCTCTCTACCTGAACCCTAGGCTAAATCTTTGTAAGCCCATGCACCCCCAAGTACCTACTATGATGTCGGCCATGAGTTCTTGTTCCTCGCACCCACTTGCGTCACCTCCATTTTGGATCCACCGAGGTTCTCAAGTATGGGATGATAAGTAGGCTACCCCTTGTCCCTTGTATAAATGCTGCGGCGACAATGTCATTAAGCTCACATGCAGTACATAGTTCCTCTCAAGTTCGAGGACATATTTTCTTCAAGTGCCGCCTCCTTGAGAGAAATGTAAGTCTTCTTCAATTAATGTCACATTTTTTTTGCAGAGTGTGCGTGCCGCACACAGATGAACCGTAGCAACTTGGGCTGGCCGGTCTTTGCTGGCATTAAAAAATGATTAATTTCAATGATTACTTCATTTTAGGTGGCACTAACTAGCCCTTTCTACTTGTTTGCTGACAAAAGTATCAAAAGTGGCTACTGCAAAGTGGGTACAATGTATATTTAGTTAGAAGGATGGGCCTTGCTGTTTCTGAGATTCCAGCTCGAGGAATCGACCAACAAATCAGCCAAGGAGGTTCATTGCTGCTTCACGTTGGTCGCTGCCTCCTTTATCGCGCATCCGACAACCGATGATCACCGCTAACAATCTTTGTGCCCGTTGACCCCTCCTCTTTCCCACAGACAACACACTCAAGGGGATATGGGAATGGTTGTGTGAGGGGAGGGTACAAGGACCTTTCTCCAATTTGTTTCCCAAATACACCTTGACCACGTGCCCCTAATAAGGCGGCATCCTTCCACGGTGGCAGTTCCCTCTTCCCTGTATGCGGCAGAGTCCTCGGTGACAATGATATGGCCGGATGGCAGCTATGGTACCGGTATAGATCCTCGATCAGATGTGCAAAAAAAAAAAGTTGATGGACCTAGGTGGAAGGTGAAAAAAGTTTAAGAATGCACACCACAATTTACTCAAAAATAAATTTGCCGGAGTGTATCAGATGGCTCAACAAAACTTGCATGCATTGTACCCCTGGTACTGATGATGAAAATAGGTATATGGTAGTAGCGGGTAGTAGGTACAGTGCGAATTAGTTTTTTTTAGGGGATACAGTGCAAATTAGGTGAAGCAGGAAGTTGCGACAAGTGTTCCAGTAAAATGTTGTGCTACTTATATTATTATTTGCGGCCTTGCGGGGGTAGAAAATTAAGACATGCGCGTAGTATAATAGGCCTGTGAACGAAGAGAGAAACAATAAACATCACATGCACACATGTGATGTGTTGCACAAATGATATGTTGGCTGGGCCCTACATGCATGCATGTTGCATGCTATGTGAACGACGTGGACGCGCACAAAAGATAATAAAGGGCGACCTTGACCCGGCCACTAGTTTGCGCGCGCGTGACAGGAAATGATATATGTAAAGACAGCAACAAATAACAAGAAGCACAGTCAGTGGGTCCCTATATAAAAACCCAACTTGCATGCAACACGCATTATTGATGAATGAACATACGGAGAGGAGTAATTATCAGTGTGCTCGACGTACGACCGCGGAAACGTTCTTTATTTGGGCCTCCGTTAACCATTGGCTCGGCCACCCTTGGAACCACCATCGTTTCTGTAGTCAATTCCGTGGGCATTTTTTCTTTCTCCCAGTTTTTCTTGTAAGCATAAAAAAAATACAATATTATAGGTTTTTGAACTCTTAACTTTGTCCTAATAAATAAATATTTCCATCACTAAATTGTATTGTTGATGTAGTTTCGATCAGAAATAAAAATTATTTTCATCAAAATCTAGCTAGATCAGCCGATTTTAACTCATAATGTAACCATGAATTGAAATGTTGACGGTTTATTATCCAATCTATCTATAATCTAAATAAATGTATCTTCAAGTTGTACGAATAAACCAGCAAATCCTCGACAAGGCCGGACACACCAATCGTTGACACAGTGACAACTAACTCCTACAAAAATTAGTACCTATTTCTACACGTCCACGATGAAAATTAAGAAGCTCAACATTTAACTCTACCAATACTACATGGATAGTATGGATGTTATTTTCATCATAAATAAATTATAGCTTCTTAATTTTATAGAAATGGTAAAACATAAACAAATATATGTGTAATGTCCCGTCTTGATTTGTTTTCTACTAATATTTGATAGCTTTTTTATTCCGTTGCAGCGCAAACGTTATTTTTGCTAGTTATTATTATTATTATTATGAATAATAATATATGAATATACATGACGAGAGCTAGCACAAATTAGTACTGCAGCACCGGCGGGGAAGCAAATAAGGCAAGGCTAGGTACGACGACGACCTTTAGATATAGCTACCTCGCCGGCCGGCCTCGTCCATCATAAACCGACGGGCGGCGCTATATATCCACACCACACGGTGATCTCTATCGATCGATCAAAGAGACGATCGATCGATGGGCAGCGTGGGCGTGGTGGAGGCGGATGACAGTAGTAGCGTCGTCAAGGAGTTCCTGCAGCGGTGCGAGCCCTCCGGCGACGCCGCCTACGGCGAGCTCAGGGCGCTGCTGGCGCGCCTCCACGACCCCGCCACCAGGCGCGACGCCCGCGTCTTCCTCGCCGCGCTCCGCCGGCACCAGCAGCAGCAGAGCTCGTCGTCGGCCGGCGGCGGCGGCGACCGAACACATGAGAACTTCTTCCGGCGCTTCGGCTTCCACATCCAGGAGCTGCTCCTCCAGGGTCCCACCACCACCGACATCACCGCCTCCACCTTCCTCTCCACCAACGCCGCAGGTATATATAGAAACGTATATTATAGTATGAATAAACTCGCTCTTGTTTCCTTTTCTTGTTTTGGCCGCGCTAGTTGGTAGGCCGGTTACTAAATAATATTCAGTACCCGCCAGGTTGCGCCCGCTCAGACGCCCGGTTACCCAATTCTACGACGCGCACCACGAACAACAGGCCAGTTTTTCTAGCGTGCGCCTCTATGATCTGCTTTCTGCCGGTTTTACTTAAAAAAAATGTGATGCGGTTGTTATTCAGCCGGTTTAATTTTCTGTTTTTTATTAAATTCTGACGTGGTTGTTATTCAGCTAGCTTTCCCTTTTTAAAATTTCTGACTAGGTAGATCGGGATTTATTGACAAGCAATATAGATATCCTATTTAGGGATGAAGGGAAATTAATTTCCTGGAGACCAGAAAAAAAATGAATTTGCAGTTAGAAATATAGAAAAGATTAGATAACAAAGGTACTGAAAAGTGTGAGTATAGTTATTGTGGTTCAATATTTGTTTGTTGTATACATGGCTCTAGGGATAAGGGCGTTATTCTATGATGAAAGGCACCATACAAGATTTGTTAAATTATTTGTGTCACGCAAAAAGGACGATAAAAAAATCATACTTTTTTCAGCAATGTTTTTTTTCAACATCAGCACACACACACAGTTGTTGCTCAGACACATACCCACCAAGTGGTATGTAAAAAAATCACGCCTGGTATATAAACATGCGCCCAAACATTTATGCATTACTATAAACAGCAAGTTGGGAGGGCACGCTACTTCAAGGTACAACACTAATCAAGGCATAAGCATTTGTGGTCCAGTAGGCAGCACATATGTCAGAGACAGCTCCACAAGGCAAAGTTCAAGGCTTCTCTCAGTCGATCTTCGTCCTGTTGTAGCCACAAGGAAAATGTGAGTGGTTTGCAGTTTAATTTGAAAGCACCACAGAATAACTCAATTTGCATGGAAAACAAGCCTGAAAAACAAATGTCTGATCAAAGATATTTAGAGTGCAGTGTAGCTGGAGGTGGGTGCTTTGATGGAGAACGCCTGGGATTTGCACACAGAACCTAAGAAAGAACAAAAGAGAATAAATAACACTGATGAAAATATTAGCTCTAACCACGAAGCATGATCAAAGATATTTAGAGTGGACTTTAAAACAGCATGTTGACTTCTGGCCTCTGACAAAAGCTGATCATCATTGAAGTTTGTTGAACTAAGCTGAAAGATAGCAAACACTAACATTTGATATCGCAAAAATGCATACAACCATATCATGCTACAGGAGCGTGTTTGATAATTATTGTCATTTTTCAACTTTATAACCTCGAGAAACTGACATAAGAAATTAAGAAATGAACACATTAAGCAAAAGAGATTTGATAAATTGGAGAGATCACTTTCAATCACAGACCATCCGACATCAGCAAGTCCATTGATGGCTTCTTTAAACCTCTAAAAGGTAAAGAAAAAGGTACAATTGTGACTAAAGAAGATTCATAATAACAATCAGGAATCTGTTTGTATTGTTCAGGAACCATGAAAATTATGATAGAAAAAAATCAGAATTGGAAGCCAAACTAATCACTAATTCGACACACATTCATCCATGTTTTGAAATTTGGATGATGGATTCATTCATAGTATGGGTGTGAACATTAGTTTAAGTCATCTTGATTGACGTTCATATCAGATAGCAATTTCAACGTCACAAGACATACTAGTGCTAGATAGCAATAAAAAATCTTCAAAACTTTGAATGGACTGTCACAAGCCATCAACAAATATGTCCCGACATGTGTGAACTAATCAGCTCAAAAGGAAATAGAAAAGGAAGATCATGTTGTGGTGCCACATGTGAGTGGAAAAATCTTATCAGCCTGCAATCGCATAGTTGATAAAGTCGGGGTAAATTCAGTGAAACATGAAACATATAAGTATGAGCAGTATACAAATTGTCTTGCAGGAAGCAAAGTGGCATGCATAATATGATACGGAAATTTTAGAATACATAAGCATATGAACAACAATGATCAGCTTTGGGGTTCAAGAGCACATGAGCATCGGGTGCTCACACATGTAATTGTCAAAAGTGTACCACAATGATTAACAGTCAGAAACCTTAAATATGTAATATCAAGTGCATACATAGATTAAGATGGATAAATCATAAAATCAATGCCAAATTATTACTTTTTTAACCTTAAATCTGTAATATTAACACTTCTGCTTTTTTAATCTTAGCATCAAAGATGAATTTCAATCTGAATTATTGTAGCTACACTTAACTTTAGGTGTACTAAATACATGATTTTTATGATGATTTTTGAAACATTGTAACATGGTATTTTAGTCCTTTAGCTAACGAGGGTGCCAGCCTCCCTGGGCGTCATATAATTATCCATTTGGCCCCACCTTAATTATTTGCCACACTCCCAAACTGAAGACGAATCTGAACAAGTTTAAAATGACATACTAGGATAAACCAATACCACATAATTTAAAATGATAAAAAGCCAAATCTAGAAAAATATGGAAATACCAGTACAGTCTGGCAAGAGGCTTACCTTTGAGGCCTTCTATTTGAAGCTGTGTTCTCAAATGAAACACAAAGCAATGATAGAAAAAGCATCAGTTGTGTTCCCTTGCAATGGCTTCCAACACACATACCTTAATGCAGATCTAAAGTAATACTAATGAACCTCTAATGAACAAGTGTAAAAGCTAACTGAAAATGCTTCGATTAACAAAAGGCCTACAGAATCTATCTGTATGCAACCTAACTAGAATGCAAGAATCTATTTGCATAAAACCGATTAATAAAAGGTTCCTATAAAAACAATCAGTCTATCATATGCATGAAACCTAACTAGAGTGTCTGGTAGACAAAGAATCTATCTGCACACCAATCTGGTAATGTCTCCTATTCAATTGTGATCTCTCTGTGTTTTTTATGAGCTAAATAAGTAAATAGATTGACAGTTCATAAAATTCTTCAAATGTGACACTTAGAAACATAGTATTCAGAAAAAGATTTTTGTACTATTGAAATTATTAGGAAGAATTCAAGTATCCAAAACTATTTAATGAAAGTATTTTTTTAACAACCAGAAAGAAAAACTACCTAAGCATGAAAATAATGGAAGGTGGGTGTCATTTATCAGAGATAATCTAAATTTTATTTACTAAATTTGTCATGTGAAATTTTATCCCCCTGAGAAATTAGCTGACGGAAGATGTACACAATGGCAGCAAGCCAGCAACTATACAATCATAACCACGGTAGGAGCATGTTATAAAGATGTTGTCGGGTTTCATTCAGACAAACAGAGGTTCTAACATGCAGTGCATAGTCAGTCTAATTAACAGGTTGATATCTACAGATTTCTGATTCCGACAAGTTAATACCAAATGAACACACAAAGAATTAATTTGACAAGGAAATATGAAGTGGACAAAGAGGATGTTGAGGAGCAGAGGGCATATACAGTCTTGGAAGCTCCTCACCTTAGAATAAAATTGTGTTGCACTAAGGAAATAGAATCAGATAAAAGAAGTTATAAACCTTGACCTTAATTGTACATAGTAGTTCATCACATGCCATCTGCATACAACATTTCACTCCTAGCAAGTTTAAATGTTCAATCAAGTTTAGAGCTCAGAAACTAATTCAATTAGAGTAAAGGTAAGTGACAGGAAGTTCCAACAAATTCTTACCAGCGTCTATGTTTTTATTTTCCTATTTACTGTGTTGGGATCTTTGTTGAGCTTCTGCAACAAAATTAATTTATGCTTGTTCAACAAAAAAATTGCAGGAACTTGATCTAATTAGCACCAGCAGTAATACATATTGGCTGTTTTGTTCACAGTAAGGGAAATTTAAGATGGTTAAGCAAAAAAATGACCTGTATGGTACGTCCTAGGATGCATCCCCTTTGTGTCATGATTCTTCAAAGTTGTGGGATCATTTATAGTGCTTACAAGAATTTGTCAGCATATCTGGACCACAAGGAAAAGGGGATTAACATGCATGCAAGAACCTACAGTAAAATTAACAAAATAATTTGTAAATCTTGATCAGCAAATAAGAATTTTTACACAAGAATACAATCAAAAGCATAGGTGAATATCACAACAATCATAGATGAAATGAGGATAAAATTTTATGGTTACAAAGATGCAAACAAAGATGCTGCCATGACGCACTTGGTGGTATCCATTGCCCTTTTATTTTTCTGATTCAACTATAAAAAAAGAATTATCTTTAACACAAGGAGTATTTACACTATTTAAGAAATAACATAATCTAAAACATTAGCTAAAGAACACAAGAATGCAATATAGCTCTAGAAAATCAGTAACATTAGCATGCATTTAAAAATTGGTAGGTTCAACTAGAAAATTAAGCAAACAGTTGATAAAATCACACACACATCATTTTTTCAGGTAGTACTCAACGTGTAATACAGTGTATCAATCCAGTCATGCATGCTATTTAGGGTCCGCCACATAACCAGCATAACAATGGCGGCCAACTTGCTACAAGTGTTGTGCTATTGTGACCTATACATGTTTACTGAAAAAAGTAAGCATGTGCATATGCATCGCATTGGAAACTGATGTGGATTTTTATTCAACAAGCCACTGGAAAAAAAGCTAGTTGATTAATACGGGAGTCCAAACACCTATTTTCTAATAAACTGTCTTGTTGTGTGGCAAGTAGGGTTACTAGCATCGATTATTGCAGTTATGAATCCTAAATCATCATGTAATACATAGTTCTAGAACCTTGGTGGCTTTGATTTTGCCTTGTTTACAAAGTCAAAACCTACACACTCTTATATGGAGATAGCTTGATGGCACTTGACCTTGTAAACCAAAAAGAGGAGGGAAGGAAGTGAGGGAGGGAGGGAGGGAGGGAGGGAGAGAGAGAAGGCACCTACTATCTATAGATATAGTACTACAATCTTAAAATGCACTATATATAGATACTACTATAATCTTAAAATGTACTTCTGAAAAGAGTATGTATACATACTACTTTACAAAAAGATTATGTATGGTGTAAACAATTTTGAGGAGTATTTGTACATCTTACAAGGGAGTAAAAGTATATACTCCCTTTGTTGTGCACATATATACTCACTTCTAATTTCATAAGACTGGTGGCTGGTCCATTTATAGAAGCAAAGCATTCTCCAGTTGATTGCAGTAACTCTATCTATAATGTAGATGCAAACTGATATGCAATTCTGCGGCATCTACATGCTGACAAAAGTTATCTAAACTGAACATATATGCACTCACTACAAGATAGCTTCAGTTATAAACTCTGAACTTGCTACTTCACCGTGCCATACTCATCCCTCATATATTCG